TCTCCTCTTCGTCTTTCTCACAGCCGCCACCCTCCAAGATCACCACCGCCGCTACAGTCCACGACCAGCCTCGAGACCGGTCTCGTCTGAACCGCCAGCTCTCCCTCGTCATTTCCCGACCAGTTTTAGCCATCACCGTCCACTGTGCTCGCTGGAAAATGTAGAAAAGTTGCCGGAATTGACAGGAACTTCACACCGCTCGATCTCTCTCCTCCAGCCACCATTTCCGATGGGTAAGGTGAGGTTTCTCATCCATTTTCTGAGTTCTAGCTGGCTGTTGCATAGGAATTGATCGATTTGCGGTTTAGAATCTCGATTTTGGAAGTTAGGTTTTGGCCGATTTTCAATGTGAAATTCCGGCCACTTGCCGTCCGAATTGGACTTGGCCGTAGTTGAAAAAGATGCTCCATTCGTCGATTAGTATCTAGGATTCGAAGGGTGGCTTGTGATTTGGAGATTTTTCGTCACCGAAAATTTCTCTACACACCCACGCGCTGCCGGCGCGTGGGCAAGGCTGGTGAAGTTGCTTTTTATCTTGATGAGATCTTTAGGTTGCCACGAGTGCGTAGGATTTTGCGGATCTCAATTTGGATGTCGTTTGACTATCGAACGGATTTCGCATATTGTGAGTTATCTGGGTTCGATAAGTTCTAACCGTCAAATCGTTTCCAAACTGAAGTATGTTGATCTAGGTGCTCTTAGAAACCTATAGGAATTCGCGGATCGTGAATCGGAGCCCCGGATGTTCCGATTCAATAATTTGAAGTTTGGGAATTCGCGTTAACCGTATGATTGGAAGCGATTCCCAAACCTGTAACCGAACCTTAGGATATTCCATTGGACGTACGCGCACCGGGAACTTGGGATTTAAGTATTTCCTTTTGTGAATTTCTATTTTGGAAGTGCGTTATATTAATCAAGGGTTCGTATCTCGAAATAGGTACTTCGGTCGATCATTCACAGCAGGCAGGACTCTCTCGGGGCCGGGCAGCTTGGGATTATTTGTGAGTGGACTTTGTTTTAAGCATATGCATGGTT